GTGAAGGGTGATAAACAGCTCTCAGTGCTGCTGATTAGTGAGGTTTGTTGATTTTATTTGTGTCAGCTGAGAAACACAAACACACTAAGTCACTGAGACTCTGATGATACAGTATACCTGTACGTATGAACCTGTCATAGCCTTAAACCAGTGTGTGTGTGTGTGTGGGGGGGTCCAAAGTGAATTTAAGGAGGTTTAGAGTTTGTTTCTACCCGAGGATAAATGAGGCCTTATTGGTTGAAATCCATGAGGGTTTGTTAGCACACAGCTGACGGTAATTCAATTAAAATGTTGACATGTCCCCTGTTCATTTACAGGCTGACACACACACACACACCCCTGTAACCTTGGTATATATAAACATACAGGTTAAAGCTGTGTCACTTTCATTTACATAGCAGCATGTTGTTAAGGTCCTGCTTTGACATTCAATTAAAATGTTTACATTTCTGCTTAATTAATTCAGTGGATGGCGGGAAGAAAAGACGAATGGACGGGCCGCTGTGACAGGAGGCCGATAACAGTGAGTGTGTGTGTGTCTGCCGTGGTAAGGTCACAGCAGGCTGACTATTATAATTCATCTCTGTAGACGTGTATTCATTGGGGACTGATGTTCCCGTTTTCAGCTGGATTTCCTGAGCGGAGGCCGAGCTGAACTGAGGGGGGTTTAATGTAGTAAAGTGTTAAAAGCTGTAATACCGGCTTCATTATCTCCCTTTTTATTGTTCAAAACTAACTGCTGAAGCCGATTATTGATCCACGCATGTTGGAAAATGCATTAGTTTGTCAGTCAGGAAGAAAAAAAAATTCACAGAATCATTTTTTACTGTATTGATCTAGGACAGAAGCTGATTCTTTTAGGTTTTAACACATCATATATATGTGACTTTATAGTGTTAATATTGTATGTACTTTACTATATTTGTACTTCCTTTCTGGGGAGGGACGGGGCTGTAGCTACCACTAACAGCTGGTCCAGCCCTGGGACAGACTCTGTTCTGCTTTTCCTTCCTTCATCACTATTATGTGACAACCACCTCATTTTCACATATTCATGCAGTTATTTAGTTTTTCATTATCCCACATGTCCCACATTGTGACTACAGAGAAGACATAGTGATTGTCTCTGTCTAACGAGCTCGTTGGTCTTCCAGCAGACAGAGGGCGCTAATGTTTATGGCCAAGTGATTTCCTCTTCTCTTCTTTCCTTTTCCTTGTCTCCTCGTCTCCTAGATGTTCCCAATACTTTTTTCTACTGTCCTATCTCCATTTTTTACCTCCCTAAGTTTCTTTCCTCCTCCTCTCCTTGTGTCCTCATTTCCTCTCCCCTCCCAGTTTCTTCATCTCTTCCTTCTCTCATCTCGTCTTGTCTTTGATTCATCTTGTCTACTTGTGTCATTCTCCCTTCTCTCCTCCCCTCATCTCCTCGTTTCCTCTCCTCCTTGCTCTAACCCTCCCTTCATCTCCCCTCCTCAGTGGGTGGGACCATGATCGAGGCTCATCCCACGGGGGGGAGTGGTCCTGTGATGCAACCGGGTTTGGAGAGCGGTTTCCCGGCCAGCCTCCCAGCGGTGACTGGCTGGGACTTCTCCCGATTCGCCGTTCCTCCCAGCAGGGGCCTGTCGCCGCTCTCTCCGGTAAAAGATGGAGCTCCGGCCGAGCCTCCCCACTCTCCTCTTCCTCTCTGCCGCCTGTGTGCACTCGGTGTTCGGCGCGGCATCACGGACGGGACCGAAAGTCACCGAGAAGGTGGGCAATGACATTTGCCGCATTTATTTGCATTAACTCGAACGGCATCTCCTCTCCGTGCGCCATCGGCATCCTCTCATGGCGAACAGCTGTGCGCGCCACCGGAGCGCGACAGGATACAGCATGAGCACGCGCAGACAGGGAAACTGGAAGGCAACGTGTCCGGTCTCAGCTGCGGAAAACACGGAAACACCCTCGTGTCTGCCTCCACATATTTACAGATTGTTCCAGACTCTGTGGGATAGCCCAGACACGCGCGCACAGCTGTACACGTGTCCAGGCGCAGTGCGTGCGCCTGCAGGAACTGACCCTCAGTCCAGCCTGGACGCGCAGTCTGCAGAGCTGAGGGCGTTAGACTGAACAGTTACCGTTTCTGTAAACGTGACCAGACACGTCAGATCACGTTTATACAAACTGCTCTGCTCATTTCATTAACTAATTGAATGTGCACCATTAAATCACAGTGTGCGCTGAAAGTGAGGCTTCATATGTAAATAAATCCACTTTAGACCAGTTATTATTTCAGCACAGGTTTTGCTTTAACAGCTCATGAGAAGCCTGTTCAATAAACGTACTGACCAGCACTGAACCTGGGCAGGATATAATCCAGTATAGGAGTGCTGGTTGGTTTTAGGAGACTGGGCTCAGTGTAATGAAGCGGCCATAGGTGTGGCTGTGTGCACTGGTTCAGTACTTTAAGGCAACAGGAAACACCAAGAATTTGGCCCCGTGATCGTTTCACCTGGCCCTGTTCATAACTTAAAGCTAGACACAGTCTGCAGGTGAGTTGATGTGCACCAACTTTTATAATCTAAAAAATCCAGAGGAGCAGTAGTCGTCATTAAAGTCTGGGGGTGTATTTTCAGTCTGGGTTTGAGGGTGAAGGTTCATTTCTGAGCTTGAAACCAGCAGTCTGAGAGGGCAGTCTTAACTAAACATGTCCTACAGGTTAAAGTTTCAGCTGCATCTCACGGTGATGATCTGAGCACGGAGTTTGCTCCCTTGTCAGGAGAAAAGCCCCAGAAAAAACTCAGAAATCGATCTTGAACTAAGATTATTTTATCAAAGTGCATTAAAGGTGGTCAATGTGGTCGACATGAACACTGCCATTACTGAATCACCTGGATTTTCTGGGGTTCTGTACAAAATCATTTGAGTCTTTTATAAAGCAAAACATTTGGTGGTTTCAGCTTCTCACACATTTGCTTCATTTCTTTGTCACATGATTGTAAACTGAATATCTTTGAGTTTCAGACAAAACAACCTATTTTAAGACCTCACCTTGGAACTGTTTCATGTATTTGCTCTTATTTGTACAGTAAGTATTAATTTGTGCATCAAAATTTAAAATGTGAAGCACATTTTCTTTTGAACGGGAAAAAAACCCGAGTATAAAACCTGTAGTGAGTAACTGGTTGGTATTAGTTACTTTACAGCTTCTGTGTGTGTGTGTGTGTGTGTGTGTGTCCAGGTGTTTTTTGACATCACGGTGGCGGGTCACGAAGTGGGGCGGATCGTCATCGGCCTGTTTGGAGACGTTGTCCCTCTCACTGTCAATAACTTTGTTGCCCTAGCAACCGGAGAGGTAGGGTGATGGTGTGTACAAACACACACAGAAATTCATGCAACAAACATTCACTGACACAAATATTCTGCAGAACGTGATTCATACACTGGATATTGTATATAATATGCACATGATCAGATTTAGTGCATGTGCACGGAGAGAGACAAATCACACACAAGTTCTCGTATGCACGTAGTATATATGTTCAGTTTCACAGCAGGTGGTAGAGTTTGTGTCGCTCTGGATGTTTTATGTAGGAGCAAGTGTTGTCTGGTTTTGATTTGCACATTTAGTTTCTAGTTGCCGTGACCCACTCTCACTCATCGAAAGGTTTATCTGACCTCCCATTTAGAGCTGTTAAATTTCTCTGATCATACATTTGTGGTAGCGTTTCTTGTTTTTAGCCACGCAGACTGTTACAGTAAGTGTTTCTCTGCAGAAAGGTTACGGCTACAAAGGGACAAAGTTTCACAGAGTCATCAAGGATTTTATGATCCAGGGAGGAGACTTCACCACTGGAGACGGAACCGGAGGTGAGAATGAGACTCTCAGTGATGTGCTGGCCTATCTGTTAGATACCTAACACTGCAGGCTTGTACACAGGACTCCAGACGACACCTTGAGACACCTGTTAAAACCACTTCTAGTATAATACACTTCCTTGCTGTGTATTTGGAGGCTCCGTGTTCCAAACATTTGTATCTTCACCAGAATCCTGCATGTCTAAATGTGCACTGCCCTCTACAGCACGTTAAAGTGCAGTAGCACGTTTTCTCGCTAACTTCATGGCGACAGGAAGATAAGCATCAGTCACAGTTGCTGCAGAAATAAAGTTTTGTATGTTTTAGTTTTTTTGTGCCAACTCTGTCTCTCCCTGCAGGTCACAGCATCTACGGAGCAACGTTCGCAGACGAAAACTTCAAACTGAAGCATTTAGGAGCAAGCTGGGTGAGCGCAAACACAAACCTTTTATCTCTACACTTCTGAGTCTAGAGTAATGGTTGTGTTGCACTATTCACAACCCTGTTAAGTGATACTTCTCATAAAACTGAGTTGTATTTACTGAGCTCATTGTGACGAAAGCAGCATGATCCCATCACTCGCTTCAAGCTAAACCTGATCATCTCCTTAAACCTACAATAAGACTTAATGCTCTGGCAGAAGAGTTGATTAGCAGACATCATGTCCTTCCTAGTCCACACTGTAAACTGGTCTTCAGGAGGACAGCAGTCCAGGGGCAAACCCCCATGAACACAGTGCACACAGGTTTCTGTCAGGCAGGATTCTGAACCACAAACTCACTCTGCTTGTCACCAGATCAGTCACGATGGAAGGTTCAGCGAGGAAACAAACATTTGAACTGTGAAATGATGTGTGGACATGATATATAACAATTAGCTGATTAATGGGTTGGCCAATTCATTAGCAACTATTTTGATCATCAACTAATCATTTAAGTCAGTTTTAAACTGCAAATGTTCACTGGTTCCACTTCCTCCCATAGTGGACAGTCAGAAAAAAAATCTGCCGCCATCCTTTGACTGGAAAATTGCAACAGGCAGTTTTCATTGTTTTCTGACTGTAGACAAACCAGTTCATTGATTGTTTGAGAACATTTTGGCAGATTAATCAATAACAAAGATAATTCTTAGTTGCAGCTGTAGTGTGAACTTTGTGTGTTTACCAGGTGAGTATGGCAAATGCTGGTCCAGACACCAACGGATCCCAGTTCTTCATCCTGGCCGCCAAAGCACCATGGCTGGATGGGAAACATGTGGTTTTTGGCAAAGTCCTGGACGGGATGGTACGTGGGCCGTCAGACACTCTTCATGAAGCTGCTGCTTGAAAAAAACAACACGTCCTTGTCACAGTGTGACTTGTGTCTAGATTCTCATTAACACATATGAGAGCTGATGTTAGAATGTTATTGGCCAAATACCACTATCATAGGCGCAGTCTGGCTGCAGGAATAGCCTCAGCTCACTGCTTTAATCTGTGAGGGCGGAGGAGCAAAGTTACTTCAGAAATAAACTATCAAACAGACAAAGCTTACAGTTCATTCAAGAGGACATCCACATGCATCTTCTTAAGGCATTTTGCCAGAGGTGACCTGGCTTCCTGTACAGACTCAGGAGCTCCACCCACTCAGGAAGTAGTTCAGACCAGGAAGAGGAAGGTGGAAGCGGGAGGAGATTTTTCACTGAAGTCCGGCACCCTTTGACAAATATACATACAAATATAAAAACAACAACAACAAACAAATAGAAAACAATTTGAGCATCACAATTCATTATTAGCCTTTGAAAGAGAACAAGGCATCAGAAGCTCATGTTTAACTTTAGTGACAAGGTGCAGCTGAAAGCTCAGCAGTAACGTCCAGTAAGTGGAACTTATGCTAAAAATTGTTTTCAGGTTGTTTTTTTTGTTGGCATTCAACAACTAGCACCCTCATTAGTCTTAGTCATAGATAAACTGAAACCCTTTGGGAGCTGCAGCAGTTGAATGTTTGTAAAATAATCACTGTTGTAACTTTTGTATTGGAATCCAGTCCTGCTTACTGAGTCCTGAAAATGAATTTTGGCCGATACAGTTTGGAGCTGCTCAGCTTCCTGACAAACTAAACCAAGTAAATCCCTGTAAAGTTGAAGCTGGTCTAACATGATCACATGGTCTAAGAACTTGTTTTTTCAGTATGACAAGAATCAAAACCAGGATTTGGTGACAAATAAAACTGATTGGCAGCATCACAATTGATGATGAAATAATAATAATATAGCTTTAATTTAAACCTGTGATGCTGTTGTGAATTATATCCTTACCCTATGTTTGTTAGGTCTTGCTTCTTTAAGGGGTGTGGCTTCGCGGTGATTGACATTGTATGTTCTGAGTAATGGTCGACTCCGTAGTATGGAGACATACGTAGCTTGCATGTGAGGAGTTCCCTTTCTTGAGAAGAAGTTCTTGACAGTAAGTGGGTAGCCTTTGTTAGCGATAGCGTTGCATATTGAACTGTTTATTTCGCCGTGTCACTATGTCAGTTTCCTATTAGTGTTGCAGCGATCTCACACATAGTAATCGGCATTAGCATAGCCACGCCTGGAATTAGCTTTAGTGCATGCTGGCTGAATTTACTGTTACGTAGTACTTATGAATGTGATGCAGTTTGGTACTAAATGTTGGCGAGCTGTTGAACTTATCTACGCCTTATATTCTTTATGTGTTGCAGATGACTGATATGTATGCTCTCAAGAAATAAATAGTAATGGTTAATCTGATGACTCGAGACTCTCTAACTGGAGTACTGTAGTGGTCAAGCCTGTTATTGCAACCACCACCTCACTAAATCTTACAATGGTCCTTCGAGCCGGATGTGCTGACTACTCCAGTTATGTCATCAGACCACCAACCAGCTTCCTTACACCAGACAAACAGACCCTCAAGGAAACACCACACACCTAAATATCTGGAGGATTATCTTCTTGACGAGTGCCACCAGTTTTCCCTCTCCTCCCATCCTGTCATGATGACAGAGGAGCAGACAGGAGCTACAGCTGCAGTGAGCGCAATAAATCAAACACAGGTTAACACCAGCCAAGGTGAGCATTCCAACAAGCAGGATTTAATCTCCTCAGACGCATTAGATATGAGATCATTGAGAAGGTTATTAAAATCTATGCCTGACAAGGATAAAGATGAAGCTGTGGATATGGCTGCTCTTCACAGCAAACTGAAACGGTATGAAACCCGACAACGCCAACGTAGAGAGTTGATGGAGCAGATTGCTTCATTCATAGAGGAAGAAGGAGAAGAGGACAATCAAACCAATGATACTATCATTGGTGCAGCTACGAGGAAATCACCTCAAGTAGAACCTCCCCAATTCCCACCTTTATCAGGAAACTCGACATCATCATCGCTTTCACCTGACGTAGAGTTACAAACCGAGAAACAGAGTGAGAACTATACAACTCTGCAATCTGTAAGTGACCCACATATCGGTGCCAGCACACCTAAAGCAGAGGAGACCCAAGGTAGCAGAGGTTTTTTCCCAATACACCCAGTATGCTCACAATCATTATACTCATCAGCGTTCTCAGGCACCATGCCTCCTGTGCTGCATCAAACTCAGTAGACTTCCATGACAGAATCCGCTCCATTACCAGTTCAGACACAGCACCTCCCACCCGAGGAACATGTTCAACCTCGGATGCGGCCTCAGCTCACACCCCCTACATCAGTTTATCAAGGGCATGACGTACAATATGACAATACAGCATTAACACTTCCCATACGGCATGTTGCTGCACTGATTGTACCAAGCTTAATAGAATATCAACCTACTTACACGCAATCAACAATGTCAGCCCCTCACAATCTGCATAATGGTCCCATCGCAACAATGAACACTCCACCTACTGTTGTTCCCTCTCGACAGTTATGGAGACCACCTGACCGTTCAATACATCAACAGGCACTGCATGCTATTCCTCAGCCAAAAATCCCAGACTTTGTGAATGACAACGAAAGAGAATTTGCTAACCTGAAGTTAGCGCTGGATAATCTGCTGGAGCCTCACATGGAGTTGGATGAGAAGTACAAGTACCACATTTTGCTGGAGCATCTCAAATTGCCTGAGGCACAGATGATTGGCCAGTCTTTCCGACATCACCCTTATCCATACTCAGCAGCC